GGTGCTGGGGGTGTTTGCTGTGGTTCACCCTGTGTTTTCTTTTCTTTTTGCAGTGAACATATTGTCACAGTTTATTTTTTAAATATTTTTAATTAAAAGTAGGAAGTTAAAGAATAATCTGTTTATCAGAAATACAGCAGGTAGCCATTGAAAAAATTATGAGTAAGCTGATCTCTGGGCAGCTTCTCGTTTCTCAGAAGGCAGAGCTAGATGCGCCCCGGCTTGCTGACAGCGGCCTGTCTTTGAGGATGTGCTGGGCTGGACATTAGGGAAGCAGTCCCACACCCAAACTCAGAAGCCACACAGCCTGGGATGGTCATCAGGCAGCCCAGTACCCCCAGGCCAGCTCTTTCTGCTAAGGGCCATTTCTGTGGTCTCAGCAGCCATGACCTTGACCCACCACTGCCACAGTTTCCACACACAGCCACGGAGCTCAGAGCATCCTCAGTCAACCCAGGTTCAAACACCTGAGAACACAGCCTCTCAATCCCTCAGCAGCAGAACAAGGGCAAAATCTCACAGGGCCACTGTGAGTGTTCCACGGGGCCACGCAAGCCAAGAGCCCAGCAGAGTGCTCCACACAGCGGGAGACCGAGAGCGGCCACCCTCTGTCTGCCAAGGCCATTCCTGCAACCTCAAAGGCACCTCTGTAGCTTTCCCTTTGAAGTGAATGCAGAAAAAGACTTCACCCAGCCTGTGTGAAAGGGTGTCCTTTTTAAAAAGCACAGCTTAGAGACCTGGCCACAGACCTGCTGCTTCCCCCCACTCTTGCAGGCCACTGCCGCTGGGCCCTGGGCCCTCTCCAGACCAGAGCCGGGGCAAGACCAGAATGCTGGTGGTGTGGAATGCTGCTTTCCAGAATTCTGAGCCAATCCAGAGCAAGGAGAGGGGAGGAGGCCCTCCCATCAGTGTTCCCCCAGGCAGCAAACCAGGGCCTCCCCGCCTCCACAATGACCTGGGCTGCAGATCTGATAAGGCCTCCTCCTCCAGGCAGCCTCTAAGGAACACTCAGGAAAGTAGGTGTGACCAGGGGAAAAGCTGTCAAGGGGAAAGCCGACTCCAAAAGTACAGGGGTTAACCGAGTGGCAGCGGAGCAAAGGCAGAGAGATGCCGCTCTCCGGCTCGGCGGGGAAAGGAAAACCAGGTTTCGGTCTCGGTGCTGCCAGGGCTGTGCGACTCGAGAGCCGTCACAAGACTCTGGGAATATTTCCCTGAAAACCAGGAGGCTGCACCGGCCAGAGGGGCAGCGGGTCTCCCAGTGCAGGGTCGGGGGTCGTCTCCCCTGGTGGCCCTGCCAGGCACCTGCCTGGCCCCTCTTCACACCCACAGCGCCCCTGCAGCACCCCACCCACCTCAGGGCACTGCCAGCTGGCAGCCTGGGAAGCGCCTCAGTACCTCAGTAGGAAGGGATGCTCTGGCCATGCCTCACCCACTAGGGACCGGATCTGAGGCCAGGTGGCAGCCCTGTCCCCTCCCAGCAGGTCTTCCCCACCTGACCTGACCTCTGGTCGGCTGGGGGAGGAGGGCAGGCCTCCCTGACCTTGGGCCTCCCTCAGGGACACAGCTAAGCCAGGAACCGTTCTTACCACAGTGCCCCTGTGCTCCTCCCTAGAGGAGCCTCACGGGCCAGGGCCCCGGGAAACCCATTTCCCCAGGAAGCCTCGCTGGGAGACTTTTCCCTAGAACAAGGGCAGGCTGGGGCGATCCCGTGTGGCCAAGCCGGTCTCCGGGCAGCACTAGTAGGCTGGCAGGGACAGCAAGCTGCAGTGTCCCCAGAGTGGGACTCGCCACAAGGCCTGCTTCTGCACGCCAGTCTCCCCAGCACAGGCGGGCACCAGGGCACCCAGTGGAGAGGAAGGAGGCGGCTGGCGTGGGGCCCTGCGAGCACACCTGGAGGAGGGGGGCCTCCCCTGGGGCCTCGGTGGGGCTCTCAGACTGCGGGAGGAGCTGGGGAGCCAGGGCACCACTTCTGTTCACAAACCCCAACTCTGGTTCCAGGTCCTTTCCCTGCCCTCCCACAAAGAGAGGAACGTGGGGGTGGTGAAGGCAGGTGGCTCACCAGGCAATGCCAGGACATGGAGAAGAGTCCAGCACACCGCCAGGCAGGCAGGAGGCAAACAGGAAACCCTCCTTCCACGCTCTTCAAGCCAAGCCAGACTGCTACAGAGAAAAGCCACCACAGGGCACGCAGGCACGCTGACCCCCGACACCGTCATAGCCTGGGCTGGTGGGCAACACAGCCTGCCCCGGCAGGGACATCTCACGTGCCACTTCTCACACTGAGGGCGCACTCAACCAGGGCCGGCATGGGCCGGGGTTCCTAAGCTGCTGGCAGAAGCCTGATGCGGTTGTGTAAGCCCAGCCCTCGAGTCAGACCCTTCTTTCCAGGCTGGGAATCTAATGTTGCAAGCGCAGTGTCTGGGGAGTCCAGCCCAGCGAGCCAGAGAAGCCCACAGAACAGGAAAGAGCCCAGGAGACACAGCCGCTGGCTGGCCGGGCTGCTGTGGCTGAGCCACTCCAACCCCGCACGCTGGGGTTGCTTTCTGGCCCTTGTCACCCACCTCTGGGCGCCGGCGCCAGCGGTAGCAGCTCCTTCCCCTAAAGGTGCCCTGAAGGCCAGTGGACCCTCACAAGGGCAAGTTCCAAGGCAGGACCTTCCAGAGGTCACCGTGTGGACCCACGGCCTCGGAACACGCTGCAGGTGTGCGCGCCGGCGGAAGGGGAGGCTAGAAATAAGTAGTCACGGGACTTGCCCACAGCCATACACACGGAACCAGACCCAATTTCAAAGCCGGGGGCTTTCTGTTCACCACACAGCTCCCTTCTCGAAGCTCTCACCAGTTCATGAAGTCGGGATTTTAGAACCGTTCTAAACCAGGAGCACGAATAATTGCAATCACAAACGTCCGACCCGCATCTCCTTCACTGAACCACAGACCTCAGAGCTGGGAGAGCCCCCAGACTCACTCCAAGCTGCAGTCTGCAGATGAGGAGGCGGAGGCCCCCAGGGCTCTCCCCAGCTAGCTGGGGCGGACTCGGGGGTCTAAATTCCCATGCTAAGAAGCGACCCAGGTCCTGCCTTTTCGGGGAGCCAGGGCACCAAAGGCACAGCCCAGGGGCTTGCACAGAGAGCCGGGGCTGAGTGCACCCACCCTGCCAGTCACCTGTGGGTCTTCCTGCGACGGGGCCCCAGCTGCCAGCGACACCATCCCAACAGCACAGACTTCACACCTTCCTCAAAACCAGCGGCTCTGGAGCTCAGGCGACCTGGAGGACCGCAGGCCACTTCCAGAGCAAGGACAGCGAGCGGTTCTCCTGCCTACGCACTCTGGGAGCCAGGAGCACTGCACAAACACTGGGCAGGATCGGCAGAGGCCACACCAGAGAATCTTCTCTGAGCCCAACAACACAGCGACCCCTCCTCCCGGAACTAAGCCACACAGGCCCCCTATTGTGTGGGCTGAAAAACTCGAGTTTGCTGGGCAAACACACTCAGCTGTGTTCGAGAAATCAGTTGTGGAAAACGGCAGTGTGCATACAGAAAGGCCGGTGGTAGGGGTTCTGTCGGTGTGCCCTGGTCAGCGCTGCTATAGCAACTGTAATTAAAAAAAAAAAAAAAATTAACAGCCAGCACTGACTGCCGTCTTCCAATGTCCCCAGCTTGGTTGCTTTTAAGAAAAATAGGAGTGAGGGAGAGTCATCCCCGAGCATTCTGGATCAAACAAGGATTCAGGCTTGTGGTGGCACAGAGGGAGGATCGGCTCTGTAACAATTCCTGCAATCACGGTTGGCCCTGTGACAGCTGGCAGAGGTAGTTAGCAGGAGGGGGGGCACTAATAAAATGAAACTTCCCAGACCTGCAGAGGGACAGATGTAGCAATGCAGGGTGCTGAGAAGCCCCCCTTCAAGACACGGCGGCTATTAACTGGCCCCCAGAATTTTCCAGGTCTCCCAGTCTCTGGACAAAATTGGGGCTGCATTGGTTTCCCTCTATTGTGTACGGGGTTGCCGAGAGCTCCACCTTGTGAGAACCCAACCACCCCTCTCGCTGGTTCCTCCAAATCCTTTTAATGGGGCACTTCCCAGCCATCATTTGCAAGTGGGGGGGCCAAGTATCTTTCTCCTCTACACCCCAGGCCGTCTCCTCCAGCGGAACCCCTCCAACCGTGTCATCTTCCCACCCAAGGCTGCCTTCCCCAGCATAATCCGTTCTAAGCCCAAATCCAGTGTCTGCGGGGAGGGAGGAGTCCGCGAATTCCGAGCGTTTGGAGCAGGGAACCGCGGTGACAACGCCAAAGGAAAGCACCCAACGACTGAACAGCACAAATGCAGCCTCAGCAAACGCGTTCTGAAAGGCAGCAGAGACCTGGAGGAGGGGAGAAAGGAAGGGACAGGACGGAGTCTGGGACGTGAGGGGAAGGGAGAGGAGGGCGGGCCGGCGCTCACACTTCAGGGGGATCCGCCTAGCACACGAGGCAAAGCCCGGCGCGTGGCTGCACCGGCGTGAGCCCTGCGGCCCCGCAAACTAGAAATGGGGTGGAGGCGAGGCCGGGGATGTCCACGCGTACGGCGCCTCGAGCCTCCATCTCGGTTCACACTAAGCAACCCCCGCCCCCAAAACGTCGCCCTTGGCGAGGCTGGTCCTGGGTCCTCGAGGGGTCGCCTCCACCGGGGAGACCCGGCTCAAGGACGCAACTCCAGCAGGAGAATCTTCGGGCCGGGAGGGAGGCGTAGAGGCCACCGCCCCCCCCACCCCCCGCCGAGGGGCCTGGGGGGGCTGAGGGGCGGGGGGTCTGCGAGTTCGGTGCGGGGGACCTGGGGGGCATCACAAATACTTAAACAAGAACGGGTGGAGACCTTAGTGGGTATT